ATCACACTGTTTTTTTGTCTTATAAAATACTTGTTCAAGTGTACCTTTACATTACGCAAATTTTCATAAACACAAAAAAATAAATCACTTAATGAGAGAACCTGGTAAGGTAACTATTCCACTTAAAAAGCTTCGCAGCATTCGTAAGTAATTCGCTTGAGCTTTTTCCGAGTCGACAAATATACATCCGACCAGCTGCCACCACTTTCATATAATCGAATCCTTCGATCAATTCATCTTTGTCGGTTCATTTTCCATCCACTTATGAATGTTATTCGTCGACTCTATTTGCAGGAAATAAACTGGGATACTTATGCAGTTTTAAAAATAACATGAGCTATATTTTAATTTTGTAAACACAGTTTAACTTTTCACAAAGTATTGCTTTTATTCACATTTACATCAAACGCACAAGTAATACATTGCATCTCTCAGTTCTTAACCAAAAAAAAAAAAAAAAAAAAAACTCACTTCTCTCTCGGAATACAGCCAAACTAATTTCAATTTTTTTTCTCACGAGCATGCCGTTCTTCTCGCAATCAAGCACGTTTCTTCTTCTCGTTGCCAGATTTTCCCCTCTCCTTTCAGATAAACTGTTTTTTTTTTGTCACACGAGCATGCCGTCCTTCTCGCATCAGCACGCTTCTTCTTTTTCGTTGCCAGATTTTCTCCTCTCTCCTTTCAGCTATAAGTCTGTTCTTCCGGCAGGTTTGGTCGGTAGCATAGAGTATGTGCATGACAAGTATATTCTACACAGTATGGTAATGATTAAATTAAACACTGCAGAACATGTAAGTAACAGCAAACCAGGGGAAGATATGTGTAACTTACTTTCCCTTAAAAGTCTGAATTTGGATTGCGCCGCTGTGGACGGACAACCAAGAAAAGAAAAATTAAGTAGTTGTCTTCGGAGGCTCTGTGCTATAACACTATGTATACCATTTTGAGCTGTTAATATTATGCTTGTAATTCTTATATATCATGTTTAAAAGAAAATATGTTGAAGATCATTCTATTGATTGTTTTATTTGTTTCAAGCAAGGAATGAACCTTCCTGTTATAACACTGAGTTTTCTTTCTCGCTGATTACTTGACTGTTTATATTAGTTTCTAGATTTTGATTAGAAATCCTTAAGGTTAAAAAAATTGTCTGAAAAGTGTGACTGAGTAACATTGAATATCATTCAAATATGCCATGTTGTAACTGATTTAAATATATGAATATAATTTTCTTGATTACTTCTGTTAATGTTTTAATTGTTTTCATTTGGCTTTTCTAATTGCAAGCAGAAAAAAGTTTAATAAAATTTTAACTGGAATATTAAATATTTTTGGTATGGAATGTGCTAGGCTATATGTTTATTTCCAAATAATTTTCCTACAGTTGAAGATTCTCGAGAGGCAAAAAATACAGTTACTGCTCTGAAAGATTTAATTGAGGAAGAAGGGATGTAAGTAAATTTTGCATTTTAAATTTTATGTATTCTTTCTCTCTGTGTATCTTATATATGTACATAGCATAATTCATTAAAAATCCGTTAAAATTATCTAAATTAGCTAAAAATCCCAAATGAAAGGGAAGATCTATCACCTTTATTTTTTGCCTTAGCACTCATTTTCGATTTAGTGTGTGGTAACAGTGGTTGGATACGTTCCACATATTTTTATAATAAGATCGGTTCCGTGAGCTTCTTGTGTAAGGAAGAAAAGATACTTTTGCTATTAAAGAAGCTAGATCACATGCTGGTTTCATAGCATTGTCCGGAAAAACAGAATGTTCTTTAAAAATCCCGGAATGCACTTTACGATGAGAAAAAAATCAAATTCATTATCGTGCTACCGTCTGTTATAGAAAAGGGAACGATTTCCCACAAGTGTTTGCGTTCATCTTGCTTGAAGTTTCTTTAATTAAACCTTTTGGCAGTTTGGCTATAATATTAATAGCTTCAACCGGTCTTTATGTTCGGGTGGCAGCAGTAGTATAATATATTTAGTAGCATCTATATTGCCTACTTGCAATTCAACTGGTTTTAAATGTGTGGTCCTCATTATTAGTTGATAACAAGTCTTGATTACTTACTTGTAACAGTCCTAAATTTATGTATAATATCTATTAGTATTTATCATTTATCTGCATAATATTATGCTTTGTTTATATGCTTGTAGCAGTACTAAATGGCATTTATCGTATCAGGTGGTCTTTGTCATCTATCTGCATGATAATACATATTATTTAGTTGCTTGTAAGAGTATCAAATGTATGTATTTGGACAGAAGGAGTTTTAATGTACCCTGCAGGAAAAAAAGGGGGAGGGGGACAGTTCTATATCTTCCGTTCTACTGGGCCAATTGACGAAATTTGAATTGCGTTTTTCATTTCTCGAAAGCACGACTTGCGATATATATTACATTTATTATATATTACATTATAACATAGGTTATTATATATTACATTCTAACATAGGTGTTTTGACACAAAATCGGATTTTTTCTAAAATAGCTTGCCATTTTTTTCCATATTTCAATTCTACGACTCCAATTATGCCTAAATATTAAATTTTGTAAAATTTGGTGTGAAATTTATGGAGGAATTCAAAAATTTATCTTGGCGCATTTTTCTCAGTTTGCGCCAAGAAAAATTTTCAGTTTGCACTTGGAAAACTTCTTAATATACGGCAACCTATTTTCCTTTTCTTTTTCTCATGTAGACGAGCGGGGAAAACTCATCGTTCATACTTCAAATAATTTTAACAAATGCGTAAACCATATTTGACGTTATTAATTGCTGAAACAAATGATTTCAAACTTTCAAAAGCACAATAGTAAATTCATGTATATCTTAGAAAATTTGGAATAAAAAACTCTAATTTTTTGCAGGTGGCCTAGAAATACAACTTTTTAAAATGATGTTAATTTTATGGTTATATACAAATTTTTTCCTGAAATCGTAAAAAATTCGAATTAATATTTGAATTAAGCCTAAATTTTCGAATTCTGGAAGAAGGAATCAAGTAGTTTAATAAAAAAAAAGAGATATGAATAAATATGTATAAATTTCAATTACACTTTGTAGCCAAAATTGAGAGCTAATTTTTTAAAACTACTCGTCGATTTTTACAAAACTTACTACATTTGGCATAATTTGAGTCGTAAATCAAAATATGAAAAATTTCACCATGTATTTCAGAAAAGTCCGATTTTTGTTCAAAATCTATATAGAACAACGCTATATATAAATCTAATACACCCAATCGCGCTTTCGAGACGTGAAACGCAAGTTGGATTTCGTTAGTCGGGCCAGTAGAAAGGGGGATATAGAACTGTCTCATTTTTTTTTCGCAGTGTGCTACTCATAAAATAATTACAATATAGAAATATAATATATATATAAATGTAGGGCATGTTTTTTACAATCTTGTATTAATCATATTGTACTTTCAGTACAGATTTTCAGCTCTTTCATTTCGACTGGATTTCAAATATTGTTCTTACTACTAATCGGCTGTAAGCAGGACTTAATTTCTAAAATAGAGAGCCGGAGCCCTACCGTAGACCCCCAGGAAAAAGGAACAAGAGAAATAAATTAATAAATCATTAAAAAATTATTATTAACGTGATTTAATAATTAAGAATATATTAAAATGTATTTTAAGTGATTTTTATATATTTAATCTAATTTTATTATTGTGAAGTATATTATATTAGATTATTATCAAGAGCTTTGTCTCTGAGGGACGATTGTTTTTTTTTGGCGTTTTTGCGTCGAATCATTCTGAATTCCGTTTCACTTTCAGACTGTTGCCACCAAATATTATCGCCCTGATAGATTTGAAGAAATTAATAATGAAGATCTCATCAGTATGTGTTGAAACTAAATAACGTTTGCCATAATCCCGAGTTCAAAAAACAAAACATTTATTTTACTATTTAAAGAAATAACGGGCTGAAACAACATGTTTCATCTACAATCATCGACCCTCTCACCAAGCATTACGCCATCAAACTTGGCACACTCCAAAAGTTCAAATTGAAGAATTACAGAAACGTTGTTGCCACACAAGAAAAAACATATAGTTACAACTTCACACAAATAAAACAAAACAAACGTTTGAAAAATAGACCATAAAAATAAATAATAAATTCTTAACAATATTTTCTAGATTAGGCAACATCCTCCCCCCTTTGAGTCAGTGGCAAACGACTCAAAACATATTTTCTCCTATTAAAAATCTAGTCATAGGCTTCTTCAAGCCTCCTGACACTAATTTTGAAGAGCCTACGTTAACGACGATTGAGAAAAACGATCAGACCGACGTACAGCATATAAAACAGAAATTTACGTCGTCAGGACGGCTTGTTAAGAAGCCTAATGTACTAGATCTTTTAATAGGATAACATATGTTTTTGAGTCGTTTGCCACTGACTCAAAAAGGGGGAGGATGTCCTAATCTAGAAAATATTGTTAAGAATTTTATTATTACTATTTTTATTATTATTGTCTATTTTTCAAAAGTGTGTTTTTGTTTTATTATTGTGTGAAGTTGTAACTATATGTTTTTTCTTGTGTGGCAACAACGCTTCTGTAATTCTTCAATTTGAACTTTTGGATGTGTGCCAAGTTTGATGGCGTAATGCTCTGGTGAGAGCGTCGATTGATTGTGTAGATGAAACATGTTGTTTCAGAACGTTATTTCTTTAAAATATGTAAAATAAATGTTTTGTTTTCTGAACTCGGATTATGCAAACGTTATTTAGTTTCAACACATACATTGATGCAGATTCTTCATTATTTAATTTCTTCAAATATAATACAGGGCGATAATATTTGGTGGCAACAGTCTGAAAAGTGAAACGGACATTCAGAATGATTCGACGCAAAAACGCAAAACAAAAACAATCGTCCCTCAGAGACAAAGCCTCTTTGACTAATAATCTAATATATAATATACTTAATCTAATAATAAAATTATTAGATTAAACTATATATAAAATCACTAAAATACATTTTAATATATTTCTTTAATTATTAATCACTTTAATAACTAATTTTTTTAATGATTTTATTAATTTATTTCTTCTTGTTCCTTTTTCCTGTGGGTCTACGGTAGGGCTCCGGCTCTTCTAATTTTAGAAATTAAGTCCTGCTTACAGCCGATTAGTAGTAAGAACAATATTTGAATCCAGTCGAAATGAAAGCTGACAAATCTGTTACTGAAAGTACAATATGATTAATAACAAGATTGTAAAAACCTGCTCACTACATTTATATATATATTATATTTCTATATTGTAATTACTTTTACTGAGTATGCACACTGCGAAAAAAAAATGAGACAGTTCTATATCCCCCTTTCTACTGGCCCGACTAACGAAATCCAACTTGCGTTTTTCACGTCTCGAAAGCGCGACTTGGGATATGTATTAGATTTATATATAGCGTTGTTCTAATATAGATATTTTGACACAAAATCGGACTTTTTCTGAAATGACATGGTGAAATTTTTCATATTTTGATTCTACGACTCAAATTATGCCAAACTGTAGTAAGTTTTTGTAAAAATCGCACGAGTAGTTTTTAAAAAATTAGCTCTCAAAATTTTGGCTACAAAGTGTTAATTGAATTTTATACATATTTATTAATATCTCTTTTTTTTATTAAACTTACTTGATTCCTTCTTCCAGAATTCGAAATTTAGGCTTAATTCAAATATATAATTCGCACATTTTTTACGATTTCAGGAAAAATTTTGTATTATAACCCATAAAATTAACATCATTTTAAAAAGTTGTATTTCTAGGCACACCTGCAAAAAATTAGAGTTTTTTATTCCAAATTTTCTAAGATATACATGAATTTACATATTGTAGCATTTTGAAGTTTGAAATCATTTGTTTCAGCAATAATAACGTCAAATATGGTTTACGCATTTTGTTAAAATTATTTGAAAGTATGAACGATGAGTTTTTCCCCGCTCGTCTACAATGAGAAAAAGAAAAGGAAAATAGGTTGCTAGAAATTAAAAAGCTCGCCAAGTAAATTATTCTTGGCAAAAACTGAAAAAAATACACCAAGATAAACTTTTGAATTTCTCCATAAATTTCACACCAAATTTTACAAAATTTAATATTTAGGCATAATTGGAGTCGTAGAATTGAAATATGGAAAAAAATGGCAAGCTATTTTAGAAAAAATCCGATTTTGTGTCAAAACACCTATGTTAGAATGTAATATATAATAACCTATGTTATAATGTAATATATAATAAATGTAATATATATCGCAATCGTGCTTTCGAGAAATGAAAACGCAATTCAAATTTCGTCAATTGGCCCAGTAGAACGGAAGATATAGAACTGTCCCCTCCCCCTTTTTTCCTGCAGGGTACATTAAAACTCCTTCTGTCCAAATACATACATTTGATACTCTTACAAGCAACTAAATAATATGTATTATCATGCAGATAGATGACAAAGACCACCTGATACGATAAATGCCATTTGTACTGCTACAGCATATAAACAAAGCATAATATTATGCAGATAAATGATAAATACTAATAGATATTATACATAAATTTAGGACTGTTACAAGTAAGTAATCAAGACTTGTTATCAACTAATAATGAGGACCACACATTTAAACCAGTTGAATTGCAAGTAGGCAATATAGATGCTACTAAATATATTTATACTACTGCTGCCACCCGAACATAAAGACCGGTTGAAGCTATAATATTATAGCCAAACGCCAAAGGTTTAATTAAAGAAACTTCAAGCAAGATGAACGCAAACACTTGTGGAAATCGTTCCCTTTCTATAACAGACGGTAGCACGATAATGATTTGATTTTTTCTCATCGTAAAGTGCATTCCGGATTTTTAAAGAACATTCTGTTTTTCCGGACAATGCATGAAACCAGCATGTGATCTAGGCTTCTTAATAGCAAAAGTATCTTTTCTTCCTTACACAAGAAGCTCACGGAACCCGATCTTTATAAAATATGTGGAACGTATCCAACCACTGTTACCACACAAATCGAAAATGAGTGCTAAGGCAAAAATAAAGTGATAGATCTTCCCTTTCATTTGGGATTTTTAGCTAATTTAGATAATTTTAACGGATTTTTAATGAATTATGCTATGTACATATATAATCACATACAAATTTAAAATGCAAATTACTTACATCCCTTCTTCCTCAATTAAATCTTTCAGAGCAGTACTGTATTTTTTGCCTCTCGAGAATCTTCAACTGTAGGAAAATTATTTGGAAATAAACATTAGCCTAGCACATTCCATACCAAAATATTTAATATTCCATTAAAATTTTATTAAACTTTTTCTGCTTGCAATTAGAAAAGCCAAATGAAACAATTAAAACATTACAGAAGTAATCAGAAAATGATATTCATATATTAATCAGTTACAACATGGCATATTTGAATGATATCAATGTTACTCAGTCACACTTTCAGACAATTTTTTAACCTTAAGGATTTCTAATCAAAATCTAGAACTAATATAACAGTCAAGTAATCAGCGAGAAAGAAACTCAGTGTTATAACAGGAAGGTTCATTCCTTGCTTGAAACAAATAAAACAATCAATAGATGATCTTCAACATATTTCTTTTAAATGATATATAAGAATTACAAGCATAATATTAACAGCTCAAAATGGTATACATAGTGTATAGCACAGAGCCTCCGAAGACAACTACTAATTTTTCTTTTCTTGGTTGTCCGTCCACAGCGGCGCAATCCAATTCAGACTTTAAGAAAGTAAGTTACACATATCTCCCCTGTTTGCTGTTACTTACATGTTCTGCAGTGTTTAATTTAATCATTACCATACTGTGTAGAATATACTTGTCATGCACATACTCTATGCTACCGACCAAACCTGCCGGAAGAACAGACTTATAGCTGAAAGGAGAGAGGAGAAAATCTGGCAACGAAAAGAAGAAGCGTGCTTGATGCGAGAAGGACGGCATGCTCGTGTGAAAAAAAAAAACAGTTTATCTGAAAGGAGAGGGGAAAAATCTGGCAACGAGAAGAAGAAACGTGCTTGATGCGAGAAGAACGGCATGCTCGTGAGAAAAAATTGAAATTAGTTTGGCTGTATTCCGAGAGTAAAGTTAGTTTTTTTTTTTTTTTTTTTTTGTTAAGAAGCTGAGAGATGCAATGTATTACTTGTGCGTTTGATGTAAATGTGAATAAAAGCAATACTTTGTGAAAAGTTAAACTGTATTTACAAAATTTAAAATATAGCTCATGTTTATTCTTAAAACCTGCATAAGTGTCCCAGTTTATTTCCTGCAAATAGAGTTGACTAATAACATTCATAAGTGGATGGAAAACGAACCGACAAAGATGAATTGATCAAAGGATCGATATATGACAGTGGTGGCAGCTGGTCGGATGTATATTTGTCGACTCGGAAAAAGCTCAAGTGAATTCCTTACGAATGCTGCGAAGCTTATTAAGTGGAATAGTTATCTTCTACCAGGTTCTCTCGTTAAGTGATTTATTTATGTTTTTGTGTTTATGAAAAATTTGCTGTTAATGTAAAGGTACACTTGAACAAGTATTTTATAAGACAAAAATTATCAGTGTGTGATTATCATATAAGACTTGAATTACCTTGCAAGTGCATTTATCTTTTATTATATGAGTGAATGATCATTAATTTAAGTAATGCTTGTGTTTTATTTATGAGATATGATTGCATTAATTTTCAAATGCTTATATATAAAACATACATGTTTTTTTTTTTATTTATTTATTTATTTGAGGATTTGGATGTTGTGCATATTTAATGCAGATACCATGTGTTTATGATTCAACAGCAAGTTAAGGATTTAACTTAATGTATAATTTTATGTAAGGAAATTTAGTTTTAATTTTCTGTTATTTTAATTAAGTTGAACATAAAGTCGCATAATGTCATTTTTGGCCAAATCTAGAAAGGCTGATCTAGTCGCCCTTGCACAAGAGTTTGGTGTGTTGAAGTGTTGCCTACATTTAGGATTTTGGACTTGAGGGAAAAGATTCTTGCTAGTGAAAGCTATGAGGAGCAGTAGCAAAGGATCTTCTGAGTGTTATCATTACAGATAGGGAAGCAAAGGAGGAGAAGGAAGGCAGAAAGGAATGGAAATATAAACTAAAGTTAGAGTCAGAGGAGCGGATTGCCCTTTGGGACTATTTCTTCTCCAGTTTAGAGAGAGCTTATGTCAATGAAAGTGTCCCTGATGAGTATAAGGCCAAAATTTTGATTTACCTTTTGGGAGATAAAGCGGCAAATTTATTAACATTGATAAGCGAGGATAAGTATGGGAATTATGAGGAAATAAAGGAAACTGTGTTGAAAGAATTTAAACCTTCACCTCAGGTATGCCTGGAGAATTTCAGAAAGGCAAGACGAAGTTCAGAAGAGACCTTTGGCCAGTTTTCTACTAGAGTTACTGCCATGTGGGAAAATTATGTGAAATCAAGGGGGGGGTGACAGACTTTGAAGGTCTTAACCAGTTGGTGGTAGCGGACAAAATCTACCAGACCCTTGATACGGAAACTGCAGTACACATAGGTATAAGGCAGGGAGACTCGTGGTTCAAGCCAAGAGAGCTTGGAAAGGAGTGTGACATATTCTTTGCGGCTAAAGGAAGTCCTACAACGTACGTAGGGAAGCTTGTGAAACTAAGATTTTAAATCAGGCAGTAGGTGAGAAACTTAAGGTCGAAGAAAGACGAGGAAGTCAGCATAGGTCAGAAGCCATAGGGAAAACCACAGGAACGAACATGTTCTGTATGTGGTTCAGTTTCACATTTTAAAAGGCACTGTCCTCAGATTAAAGGTTCTAGGCAGTATAACAGAAATGAGGAAAAGGATAAAGCCAGGGTAAACTGGGTAAAGAAAGAAAGATCAGGATAATGATATCCTAGAGGACAAAGTTGTGGTAGCTCGTGTGGATCCTTTGAGGAAGTCAGGGGATGTAAACGACTATAAGCTGTGTGAGTTGAAAAGGGTTCCTATTAGTGTGAATGGAACAATAGGGAAGGCCCTCGTTGATTCAGGAACAGAAATTACGGTGGTTAAGAAAGAGTTAACCAAAAGTCTCCAACTGAAGGAAGGATCGAGTATATATTTGAAAGGTATATTTGGTCCAGCTGTTAAATGCCCTTTGGTAAGCATTCCACTGAGTATTACTGTAGGAGAAAGTGCCAATGTTGTTACACATCAAGAGATTTTGTGTGCAGTTGCAGAATCGCTGGCAGAGGATGTGTTGCTTCCTCCGGAAGTATTCACCATGTTAGGAGGTCGGTTATATGACACAGGTGAAGGGGTGGAAAACTTACCTGAAGAAACCACAAACATCCCAGAGGTTAGGAGAAAGGAAAAGTCTGTGAAGGTAAACACAGGGAAACTAGAAGGAAACGCTAGTATGGGAAGGAATCTCAATGAGAAAGGGAAAGGTGGAATCAAGTGAAAGCCAAAAACCTCAGCCAGGAAGACTATGTACAGCGGATGTATTTAGAAGAGAGCAGGAGACTTGTGAATCTCTGGTAGGAGCATGGGAGAATGCTCAGAAAGGAAAGGGGAATTATTATACAGTGGATAACTTTCTCTTTCATAAGGACAAAATTCTTGGGGAAAGTGTGGGGCAATTAGTTGTACCTAAGAGTCGAAGGGAGGAAGTCTTGCAGTTAGCACATTGCTCGGTGTTTAGTGGCCACATGGGGGTAAAGAAAACTGTGGAGAGAATTAGATAGATACTCTTTTTATTGGGAAGGTCTGAGGTTAGACGTTCAGAAATTTTGCGAGGCATGTAAAGAGTGCCAGTTGACTAGACCAATTAAAACTGTTGATAGGACACCAATCACCCCAGTAACGAGGCCAGATCTGCCCTTCCAAATTGTAAACATTGATGTGATAGGTCCGATTGATCCTCCCAGTTCTAAGGGTCATAAGTATATATTATGCTTAGTTGATCAGCATACCAGATGGGCAGAAGCAATACCTCTCTAACTAGCCTCTCCGCCAAGTCGACTTGTGAGGAGTTATTACATATTTTTTCAAGAACGGGTATTCCAAATGTAATTGCATGTGACAATGGAACAAATTTTAAAGCAGATTTGACTCAAGAATTTGAGAGAGACGAATAGGGGCCAGTCCTAAGTTTTCGACCCCTGGATATCCTCAAGCTAATGGATTAGTTGAACGGTTTAATGGTACTTTAAAAAGAATGTTGCATCATGTCATCAGAGAAGAAGGTAGAGGGTGGCATTTGCAAATTCCTTATGTATTTGTGGGCCTATAGAGAAGTACCCAACTCAACAACTGGGGGGTGGCTCCATTTCAACTCATGTACGGCAGGACACCTCAGGGACCTCTGTCGATATTAAAATCATCATGGACAGGGAAACATGAAAATTTACAATTAGATGCAACTCCTGTTTATACATATTTACAAAATCTAAAGGCTAGGTTTGAGAAGGCAGCGGAGCAGGCAAAGCTCACAGCTAAAATTCAACAAGAGAGGACAGCACACTATCATAATTTAAGGTCTACCATAAAAACATTTAAGGTGGGAGATAAGGTGATAGTCTTGATTCCCGATTCTAATAACAAGCTTTATGCTAGGTGGCAGGGTCCTGCAAATATATTGGAACAGAGAAGTTCTCACTCATTTGTAGTACAAATGCCCGATGGGACCAAAAGACATGTTCATCAGAATAAGATTAGACCTTATGTAGTTAGATCCCAAGCAGTAAATGTTATCTTGGAGGGGGAAGAAGAGTTTGGGGAAATTGAATCTATACCTGTCAACAAGGGAGGAAAAGAGTTTTTCTGAATCTCTGGAAGGATTAGAAATGTCTAATTTAGATTCAGTCCAAAGGAGTAAACTTTTAGGGCTACTGAGGAAATATCAAACATTATTTACACGTCCAGTGCAACCAGCACGAGTAGGTACACACAAGATCGAACTTATTCCTACTGCTATTAGGAAGAAACCCCACTGCTATGGAATACCCATGGCATACCGCAAAGCAGTAGATGAGCAGATACGTGAGTTGCTAGATTCTTAATTGCTATAGGATTAATTGAACCTTCTGAGTCAGAAATTGCTCATCCTATAGTTTGTGTGGCGAAAAAAGATGCTACAGTTAGAATGTGTATAGATTTTAGATCATTGAATGCTGTAACGAAAAACTCCAACATTTCCCATGAAAGACATGCAGGAATTGATTTTTGTG